TCAAGATTTTAGCAACTCTGGGGGTCAGAACTTGATTCTTTTAAAAAGATATCTCAGAAAGTGCCCTTGCCAGCAAACCGGATTCTGCACCATATCTGTTCCTGCAAAACAGAGCGCTCCTCTTGGCATTTTGGGAATTGGAACCCAGTAGCAGGCGGAGATCTGGATCGCTGCGGCACTATTAAAAACACACTCACTTTGGGAGGGTCCCAGGAGGCCGTTCCCAAAGAGCCTGACAGTCCTTCCGCGGGCCTGCGACCCCTCCTCCCCTGCAAAAGGCTTGCTCTGCGTTGCTGCTTCCTTGCTCGGAAAGGCGCCCAGCGGTAGCGAGGGGGCTGGTTTGGACGCAGCAGCGGTTCCTCTGGAAAGGGCCAGCCCTTGTGCCTTTTCTTTCCGTTACCTTTTCCCCCCTTCCCCCCATGAGGGGTTGTTTTTATTGTCCCCGTCTAATGAAGTAGAGGCTTCACCTGGTCAACCCCACAAGTGGCGGCTCTTCAATGCCATGAATGCAAATACTTGACCCCTTGAGCGGTGGGGCAGCAATTAGTTTAAGCAGGGGGTTCGTGTAACACTTCAAAAGTCTTAATCCGGGCAGCCAGCTTTGGGCTGGCCTTTGCCAAGCCCCCATTGAGAGCTCTTAATGAGTCTGCAAGCCGAAGCGCACTTTCAATGCATTTTGGGGTCGCGTCAGATGCTTGAGAAGTGCCACTCTATATGGCATTGTGCGGCTTTTGAGAGCCAGGTCTTTCTTTGTAAAGGGGGGGGAGAGGGGAAAAGCCCCCCCCCCCCAGCTCTTCTTTTTCACAAGGAAGAGACACAAACCAGCTTTCAGAGCTGGGGCTCATCAGATGCTTTGCATATCAATGGGCCTCGGACTGAATGCGGGCACTCAGCTGAGAAATCGGATCACTATCGGAACTTCCCGGCATTCACGGGCTCTTGGGAATCTTTAAAGCCCTCGGCGGAGAATAATTCCGTTGAATGTCATGGCTGGAAACAAAACCTAAACAAGTGGGGTGCAGTCTATCATGCGGGCTGCCAGCAGAAGTGACAGCGGAGCCCCCTGGCCCGGGTATCCAGCCCGCGGGCCGTCTGGCACGCCTCCTCCACCGGGGCGCGGGTGCGTCCTGGCCGGGCCGCCGAGGAGCCGCTCCGACGGTGCGGGGCATCGCGGGGGGCGGGGATGTGCCTCGAAACAGCCCTTCGTGTTCCCCCGGGAGCATTTAGCCGCGCCGACAGCAGCTTTCCGGAGGCGCTTGGGCGAGATTCCCTCGGGGGACCCCCCTCCCTCCATGTGCCGACTTCTTCACCTTGGTTAACTGCTGCCCCCTCGGGCGCTCTCAGGGCATCCGCACGGCCCCCCGCAGAGGGGGCAGGACAGGTGGAGAGGCAGTGCCGGCTCCTCGCGTTTCTAGGGTGGCCAGTCATGCACTGCCAAAAAAGACGCGCCACCAACCCCCTCCCCGCAAAAAGGACTTTGCAGAACATTGACATAACGGGTGCGCGCGCGCGCCGATTTGCATAAATAACTGCGAATGTGTGGCGTAGTGGTCATGCTGAGGAGACCTGGGTGACCTCAGGCCGGTCCCTATTTCTCAGCCTGACCTACCTCCCAGGGTTTTGGGGAGGATAAAATGGAGGGGAGGCGGGTTAGGACACTGCCTTGGGCGTGTGCCTGCGTGCCTGCAATCACTGCCACACATTTCACAGAAGGCGAGCTAGTTCATTTCCAGTCCAAATTAACTCCAAATTACCTGTTGATTCCCGCTGCGCAGCCCGACCGTCGGTCCATTTGCCCCCACCAGGGGGCCACAGGGCGCCCCCCGGTCCTCGCGCGGATGGCGCTATTCCCACGGGTCAGGCGGTCACGTGGTTCCCGCGCACGCGGCTCTGCCCCCGCAGCCCCGCCCCTTGCCGCCTTCCCGCCTCCGGGGCGCGTCCCCGCCGGCCTCGGCTGCCTCTTCCCGACCGGCGGGGCAGCTGCGGTCTGGAGGCAATCGCCCCTCTTCGCCCTCCCACGTGCACCTGCATCTCCCCAACACTTCCGGGCCACTCCGGCCCCGTAAGGGTTTTAATAAAAATTAAACAGCCGCTTTGGCTGCAACCCGCCCCCGCCCCCCGCAGTCCCCACCAAGGCTAAAACGGGGCTCCTGCGTCCCGACAGCCGGGGACGCGTTGGTGACGCGCAGAAGCCCTGCCGGCCGCCACCCACTCCCGGTGGCCTCCAGACCTCAAGCAGGGAAGTCCAGAGCAAGTGGGAGGGGGCCATCGGGCATCCCTGGCATGTGGCTGCCCAGCTGCCTCCGGGGGGCCCTTGGGTGGGACTGCTGTGCCGCTCTCTCAGCATGGCTCTTGCTGGCGAGGACCCGGAGCTGCTCGGCAGTGGCAGTGGCAGCGGCAGGGAAGTCTGCTCTGGGAGGGAAGGCCCGGCGGGGGTCTCGCCCAGCATCTCTGCAAAACGACTCCTGCATCTACTGCCAGTCCCGAAGCGTCACCTCCCTTCCTTTAGCCGGGCCATTAAGCACTACGCCTTCCCATCCAGGGCCACAAAAAGCATTTTAATAGAATGAAGAGAAGCCTCTCTGAGCACATACTGAGAGGCTTTTAATCTGGTATTTTGTTCCCACACAAATAGGGACCTGGGTTAAAATTAAACCTGCTCCCTTCATCGCCCATGACAGAACCCTGGGAGGTGAGTGCAGGTTTGTTCTTCAGTTTAAAACTTACCCCTTTGGGTGCTATTTCCGTATCAGTGAACCTCTCTTGCTGTCCCCTGCAACCATTTCCTCTCACCCCTGATGTAACAGGCCACGCAAAGGCGCACTGCTGAGTGGGTGTGCATACAAATGCTTCACGTGCACATGCAGAATGTTTCAGAGACCCCCTTTTGGAACAGAAACCGAGCAAGCTGCAGAGGAAGGAGTTGGACATACCTTTGATTCTTGCCACCACGCTGTTCCCCCCAGCTCCCGTAACAGATGATCCAGCTACCTGAATAGACCCACCCTCTGGAGAAGGCTTGAGCACCCTGTACAAAATTGGTGCTCAAGAAGAGATTGAGAAGACAGAGCCCAAGAAGCCTCTCATTATGGGAACCTAAACTTGCATAACCTCTCTTGGTTTGTTTCCAGAGCACTGCATTTCAGTCTTGCTCCTAGAAGCTTCCATCTTGATGCACAAGTTTGCATGACACTAGACTTTTAACAAGAAAAGCAAGTATAAACATTTGGTGCACATTCAGAATGGCTGTTGTTATTTTCCTTTTATTAGCTGCTAGGAGTCCTTGCAGAATTTTTTTTTGAGAATCCATAAAAATAAACAAACTAAAAGGGAAGTTAGCATTTGCCAGATCAGTCTATCATAAGAACAAAAACAGAATTGCTGCCTTTTCTCCAAATCATTTTGCTATTGGATGTTCTCGCTGCTGGATTGCTCCAGGCTGAGACAGAGTGAAATGCTTGGCTTTGTGCACCAAAATACCCACACTCAGGAAGCACATGGGGAGGGGGCTCTGCCGTGCAATCGGTGCACTACAAACGCAAGAGCTTCTTCATCCACATCTGTGGCAGAGAATCTGCCACAAGTAATCCAATTATGCACACCGGAGGCCCTGCATGTACCAGTTAAGACAGTGTTTCTTCATAGCTGGGGCTGGGTTTTTTTGGTTAGCTAAAAGGGGCGGGGGGCAGGGCGGAATTTGCACAATCCATGCAGGTTGCATAATTCAGTTTTATACAATTTACCCCTGGTTATGTAATTTGTATTGCTTCTGCTAGCAATGGAGATGAACAAGGCCTTTTCTGGGGCAGTGGTACACTGACCTCTGGAAAACAGCCAGGCTTCTGAGATTTCCGCAGGCCACAACAGCTTGCTTCTGAGCTCCACTTCACAATCATTAGGGCCAGAAGTGTGCAAAAGTAAAAAGAATGAGTTTCTCAAGAAAATGTGACGCTTGGTGTTTGTCTCATACAGAATCACCCAATACACACTGCTCTGTTTCGAGCCAGCCAACAGCAACTTCAGTAAAAGTCAGTAAGTGACTCAGAGAAACAAACTTGGCCCTGCATGAGCATTGCCCTCCCACAACTGCTGCTGGTTAGAAATTAGGGGAGGCCTGGTCCAGCACACTAGAAGGGCATCAGGCTGTGAAGCTCTCTCCAAAGCTGCCACTTCCGACAGGCCTTGAAAGTGGCCAGTGGGCTCTTTAATTGGGCACACGGTGCCACTGGAAGGGCAGCTTCTCTCACGACCCAACACACATGGCGCCAGTTGGAGATGCATCTTGTGCGTCCCAAGGCTTGTGACAGACAGGCGAGCCGGACTCCCAAGCCTTGTTCTTTGCATATTAGACCAAGTTCTAGCCAGAGAAAAGTTCCCAGACGGACAAAGGGAGCGTTTCCTGGCTCGCTGAGCCCATCCGGTAAGTGCTTCTTTCTCTGCCACCCCTGCAGTCCACCCGCTTTCTTGGCCACATGGCTGACTCCAGCTGTGGCAATAAATGGGCACGTGGGCACCTGCAAGAACTGGGGCATCCTTCGCAACCCATCCCATCCCATCCCATCCCATCCCACCCCACTCGCACCTTCCTTTCCCTCAGCCCATGTATACCTACTGAAATTTCCGGATCGTTCTTTAGCAGCCAGCTTATTATTAGCTAGACTTGCTCAGCACAACATTTCGCCAGAAACGGCTCGCTTATGCTTTCTTTGCTTGTGTTGGCTTAAAGGGGGGGAGAGGGGGAGAGAAGAACGTTAAATACTTTTTCCTCTCGTCGGTAAGTGTGCATTTCTCTTTTACTGGCAAGATGTGATATAAATTAGAAAGAGGACCAAGTATCTCCTGTTTGTTCATCTCGAGCCCCCGGCCCACCGCCATGGACCCTGCAGCCCTCAGCAAGCTGCTGGAGGAGCACCTGCTTTGTGGGTCCGGTGAGCAGGCCAGCCCCCCCCCCCCCAGCTGCCCCACAGCAAGCTTCCCTTTTGTGCGGAGAGGTGCCTCAGTCAGTCCCACCCAAAATCCTGCCCGGTCATTTGGTAGAACTTCATGTTGAAGGGTCTGTAGAACTGCTGCAGGCGCTGGATCACTTGCTGGCTGATTCTGGGGTGAGGCCGCCCTTTGGACTTCCCCAGGCACCGAGGGCGGCTGCTCCCCTCGGGCTTCTTCAAGCAAGGGAACCCCTTGGTTTCGTTGAAGTAGAAGTGCTTGTCTGTCACCACCCGCTTGAGGCCCAGGAAGTCCTGGACACGGCCCATCTCCCCGGCCGGGTCGCTCACCAGTCTCTCCCCGCTGACAAAGAGAAACCTGGACAGGGGGAAGTACTGGAGCCAGTTGTCCAGGTGCTTGGCATAAATCCCGATCCTGACGGCGCTCCAGGCCGTGTCAATCAGGCCTGTGCTCAAGTTCTTGAAGGTCAAGGCCTGGAAGCTGGGGATGGCGGGGTTCTTGGAGAGCGTCTGCGCGTAGTCTGAGATGGCCCGCGTCACTGGGTTGCGCACCACCACGATCAGCTTGGTGTCCCTGGACATATTGTAAATGCGCCTCGGGGCTTCCTTCGTCACAAAGTAACTCGGCGTTTTCTCCATGGTGATCTGTCCCTCTAAAGTTCTTGGCATCAGGTTTCTGTGAAGGTAAGAGGGTATCAGTAAGAAAGCATCCTGTTTTGATTCTTCCACAGCCATGGGAGCCACCAGCTCTGCCTACCTCTCTGGGAAGTGGACCCAATTCAGGACAAAGTCTGGATTCTAATGAGCAGGTTCCCTGCCATCAATCAATCAATCAATCAATCAATCAATCAATCAGGATTTCCCCCATTTTGGAACTGAGGGGGGTCTAACATGCCACAGAGGCCGCATGTGGTGTTCATGGGCAGCATTCAGCTAGTCTCGGCGCCCCCCCCCCCCCCCCCAATGAATGAGACCAGTGTGGTGGGCCCTGCTCCGACTCTCCTCTGCAGAAGAAAAGGGATCAGCCACTGGGAGCAGGAAATCGATCGCATGGGCCTGGCTGTCTGGCCGGTGGGCAGCCTGAGAGCAAGGCAGCCATGGCGGCTCCCTTTGTGCCGCTCCCCTTGCCTGGCAGGGGCAGAGGCTGGCGAACTGCACACCGGTGGCTGTGGTGCAGTGGAGAAACATCTTCAGGGGGCTTTCGCAGGGCCCCCGCTGGTGCGAGGGCCCACACTCATGCCCAGCCCTGCCAGTTGTTGGTGCCGGGCCAGTTCACACAGATCTCCCACGTCTTATCAAGGCATTAAGGATGAGTACATTGAAGACTGGCTAGAAGGGTTTACATATTGACAGTGGAAAAGTGAAATTTACACACATTTTACAATGGCATTTAAGTTTCTAAATACGGTGACTGTTTCCTTTTAATCAAATACAAGTAGAAGGTTAGATACTGCGACCTCATAAAAATAAGGAGATGGCCTGGAGCTAATCAAAAGACTCCCGGGCCCACACCGAACCTCACTTTTCGGAAGCACTCAGCTGGCAAGGCATTCACCCAGAATCCTCAGGTTGCATGGCTTGCCGCCATCTCTCCCTACAAGTCCTCATCAGGAACCCAGCTTGCAAAACCAGACGGGCTTCCCCTTCCCACAAAGCCCAACTCGGGCTCTGCTGCGGGTTCACGAATGTGGCAGCTCTTCCTCAGATGCACAAGGGTATTAACTTTCCATATTGCTAAGAGGGAGCAGGGACAAGCCTGGTGTGTGTTTGTGGGTGGCTTCGCATCTCGGGTGCCTTTGGAAAAACCAAACAAAACTCTCATTCATCTCTGAAAGGCAAGACGCCCTGCTGGTGTTCTCAACAAACTTGGAAACAAGCTGCCTGGATCTCCGCCACATCCTTGAAGCTAATAATGCTCAAGGGAGCTTCAGAGATAGCACTTCACACATACAGAGCGAACATACAATCCCAACTGGAGCGGAACTGGAACTGGAGAGGAAGCCATATGATGTCCCAGTTGAAGGCTAGAAAATCAGGCCACCCTTCCACTGGGCAACTGGTGAAGAGGGGCAGCTCCTGGTGACTGGCAGTGGTTTTCAGCCAGCACAGATGCCAAGGTCAGGAGAGGCCTCTCCCTGTCCTGGAGCGGTGCCTCCGAGCACCAGTTCATTCTCCTACCGCTCCATGCCGGTCCCAGTGGAAATCATTGCCACGATGACCGCTCCTTTGCGGTCGAGTGCACCAAAAGGACACGGCAGAACAAGCAGTGCCCCAAAGAGGGCATTTCCCTGTCTGTGGGCCGGTGCAGCTGAATAACTGGGGCCCATGCAAAGCAAGAGCCTGGGCATTACCCGAAGTATACAGAAGAGGGAAGCGTCCTCGATTTACTGGAGTGCTTGAGACAGGCCAGCCACCTTCATCGGGAAAGCCTTTCCTTGAGTGCTTGTGCATGAGCAATTGTGAGACATGAGCAAGAGCAAGGAAAAGCGAAGCGAAGCGGAGGATCCGATTCCTAGCTCACCGCATGTTGGCTGCAGAAGAAGGGCCTGAGGGGTGTGCGGGCCACCAGCCGACTGACTCTGCTGCAGGGTGTGGCGATCACTCGACTGCTTACGGAGAGAGGAAGCAGCTGCCCCCACAGCTACTCTGGCAACCCTGCTACGAACTCCAGCGATAACACAATGGGATCTAGTAATACGGTCCATGTTATAATGGATTGGCAGTGCCCCATTGCTCTTTGCGTGGGAAGAGAGGGCAGCCCCCATGCAACATCATGAATGGATAAAAATCTGGCATCAGAAATCGTATTATAGAAACATGGACTCCCCTCTGGAAATGCCACCACGAGTTGCTCCTTCCCATTTCCTGCCAGAGAAAGGACCTCTAAGGGCACAGTCTTATGCATGGTTAGGCAGAAAATGCTCCACAAGTCATTGCATTTCCCACCCAGCACTGGCTGACTGGCTGGGGAATGCTGGCAGATCTGCAGCTGTTTTCTGCCCATCCATGCATACGGCCACATCCCAAGTCTAACTTGTTAGGTTAGGCAGAGTTCGAAGGGAATTCCAAGGCACATGCTCCAAAGGCCTGCCGGAATAAAAGGATCTTTGCAGTACCAGGAGATGGGCCTGCCAGAGAGATCTTAACGCCAGGGCAAGCTCATATGGGAGAAAGCAGGCAGAAGACAGTTCCCTGCTTGAAGGCCTGTTCTGTTCCAGTCTGGCTTGAAGAAAAGAGCCACAAAAAGGGGAAGAGGTAAAAAAATAGCACCTGAACAGAAGGGCTGGATAGCGGGTGTCCAGGGCACCTGGCCATTGTATTCCCTAGTGAAATACTGTATTCCTATTTCTCTATAAAGCATAGTTATATTATTATTATTATTATTATTATTATTATTATTATTATTATTATTACTATTACTACTATTATTATTATTATTATTATTATTACTATTACTATTACTACTATTATTATTATTATTATTATTACATTTCTATGCTACCCCTTGCCGAAGCCTCGGGGCAGCTTACAACACAATAAAATACAATTTGCATCTATAGATACAGATCTGTATATGAAAATGTGATGTGCCATTTTATCCCCCTCCCTTTTGGTGATAGAGTTCCTAATTTTTGCCCATGGCCACTATTGCGACAACCAAACCGAGAGTGAACTCTTCCTGCGGGATTTCACTGGTCTGGCTGGACCTCTTTTCATTTCCTTTGAAATTTCTCCCTGGCCTACATAGGAACTTGAAGGTCTGCCTCATAATTTGCTGTTAATTCAGATTACACATTTCTGGCCCCTTCTAGGCCTAAGCTTGACATTCTCTGAGACTTTCTCCAGCTTATCAACAGCCTTCTTGCGACATGGTGCCCGAAGGACTGCAGGACTCTGGGCGAGGTTCTGCTGCCGTGGCTTTTGTATCCTGCCTCTTCCCCATCCCACAGGTGGTCTCTGGCCCACCAAAACCTCTGTCCCTTCCACTCTCTCAGTAGCGGCATTGCTTCATTGGGTCAGAGCCAAGAAGTGGAAATCGAGCTAAGCTACTGCCCAGGGGGCTTCTGCTAATCGCTACTTTCTCTGGGAAGCAATATGGGACAATTCTAATGACTTGTAAAAAGGCAGCAGTTTGATCTGGAGCCAATCTGTCTCATTATGTTGGCTGGTGCAATACACAGACCTCTTTGATGTTCCACAGCATGGGAGGTGCGTGCGGCCACCCCCAGCGGACCGCAGCATCGCGCTGCATTCTGGCCAAGCACTGATGCCCTTTCTCAGCCAATACACTGCAATCTTTAAATATTCCCCATTTGCATAACAAATTGCATGTTGTACTTGAAGGATCAACCCCAGTTCTAGCTGGACCAGCCTCTCAACTCCATCCAAAAGCAACCAGAAAGAAATTCACAAAGCAGACACAAACATTAGTGGCATCCCCTGCTCACTTCATTTGCCATCTTTGGAAACGTCTGTCTGTGATGTGTGACGCTACCCTTGGAAGTTCTTCCCTGCATGCACGTCTCAAAAAGAAGGGCTGCCAGTGCGGCCATGGGCGCCCAGGCCTTGGTCATGCCCAGTCCGGATCACTCCTATGCACCCTGCATGTTTTTGAAAATGCTCAGAGATCTTTACTGGCATGAAGTACAGTGGCTAGAATGATCTCCGGAGCTTCCACTTTGGAACTTATTTGGCTGGTTTTGTTCCATCTGCTTCTAGGCACAATTCAAGGTGCTGGTTCTTACCAACAAAGCTTTAGTGGTTTGGGACCAGGATTGGCTGCCTCCTCTGTATAAACCTTTCCACCCATCAGGTTCAACATTGGATCCAGTGCTTTCAGAAGTGTGGCTGGTTGAAAATAAGGCAGGTCCTTCTTAGGCGTGGCACCAAGGTTGTGGAATGTCCTTTCATCCATGAGCAATCTCATGGTCTTCTTTGTTTGTTGAACTTTTTATTTGTTTGAACTTTTACATTTTGGCCTCTCCTTTTAACTAGCCTTTAACAGTTTTATTCAGTTCTTGGTTTTATTGTATTAAAATTGTTTTCATTATCAGTCATTTTGGGGACCATCTTAGATCTAAAAGCTGCATAGAAATGGCTTTATGAAGAAATCATATAAGTATTTTGGGGCAGGAAATGAAACTTGAACTATCACAGAAAGGTCATTGCTCCATGGCAAAAAACTCACTTGCTTTTGCTTCACTCCAGGCGGGGCTGGGAAAAATCTCTGCCTGACAGGCATGGGTTTCCATTTCAGTCCCCCTCCATTTCTCTCTTTCTCTCTTAAATGCATTTTGGCCCCTGCGATCCCCCTCCTCAGTCTGGCCCCCTCCAGGTGGGACAGTCTGCATCACCCGGGCTCTCACCCGCTGGTCACGTTGGCTGGGCCTGGCGGAGGGGACGGCTGAGGCATATGTAGGGGACTGGGTGGGGAGCAGGTGGGGGCTGCACACATTTCCCTAACCCTTACAAGCAAGAAATGATACAGGGCAGTGGCTGTGGCAGTCAGAGCCCTGCCCTCCTTCTGCAAAATGTGAGAAACACAAAGAAACATAGAAACAGACCAAGTCAGAAGGGGTCTCTCAGGCCATCCAGTCTGACCCCTGGTTCCAGCTCTGCTTATGACATGCTTACCATCTGCATGTCCAGTCTATCCTTGAACACCCGCACCAATGG